GTACTTGTGGTGCTTAGCGCAATATTACTGTTGGTATTCAAAAATACTATTAGCGCAGTGGACCTTAGGTCTAGCGAATTTATCGCAATGGAGAAGCTCAAGAGTGACAAGGGTGGTTGATGATGATTAGTTAGATCATTTGACTGACGCCAGGATTAGCGGTTGCATCATGGCGGAGTACAGTCAAGGAGGTCATAACGGCCAGCAAATGCATCCGCCCAGAGGTTGTTTTAATCCTTACATAGCAACGCCTTGTGGGTATTTTGTGGGCGTTCATAGTCTGCGCTATTATTATCTTGGGACATCGTTTGCCACATCGCAAAGTCCTACAAATTCCCATCAATTATGCAGTCCAGGCAGGCAGCATTATCCGCCCGTTTGGCAAAGGCATCAAAATAGAGCAACAAGAGGACGTAGGGCACTGTTAGACGATTTTAATTTGACGTCGGACGGAGGAGCAAGAACTCACCTATCAATTAGCTAATTGAAGGGAATCCCAACACCGCCCATAGTGGCGTTCACTCTCAGGCCTCGAGATGCCGCCTATTTGGGGCTGGATTGTTCACTGCTAGAGTTGTGCATGTTTAGGATTTCGACGAAATTTCCATCGCCATAAACAAATCATATATAGTGATTTCCTTTCGGTTCTTTAACGGTTACAAGTGCATTTTTATGGACCGGTTTACTTCTGAATGGGCTACAAACTAGCCCTCCATTACCATTCTATCTAGATTTTTACATATGTTTTCTCATCAAAAGAATTCAACTTTTTTTGGAAGAGAACGCATTTTATCCCACTTTCTTGCTAACAAAACCTAACGTTTATAATTATTTCCTCAGATTAGTTAATTATTCAAAGAATTACCGCGTTTGAAGAGGCCTATAGCATCTAAAACTAATAAAACGAATTTTATTAGCGGAAGAAATCAGGTTTAATTGGCACTATTTAAGTGGCAACATCCTAGTTTCAGGGCGATAGCATGGTTGCATGACTGTGTGCAATAAAACCCACTTTTTCCCCGGCTAAATTTTGCAGCTCTAAGTCCATCGAGCCTACGCTTTTGATGAATTTCCCTATTTCCCCACCTGCTAAGTATTTCGACTTTCACACCTTACAATCGCATTATGAAGTAGCATTTTTCTGTGGAAGGGATTGTCAGAAGGTGAACTGTAATGCCTCTCCCTTCCGCTTAATGCAAACACAATAATGATCCATCTGTTTGCCCATTTTGAAGGCCCATGTACACTGCACTAGTCAACAAGGAAGCGACTGTTCGATCACTCGTAGGCGTATCTGAGTGCATATTGAGAAAAATAAAGT